TTGGGGTTTTAAGCATTAATATGTCTTAAAAGAGGGTAAATGAGAAATGAAGGTGTAAGCATTTAAATTGTTGGATTTAAAATAATTTGGACCATATTAAATTGAAGACATTAGTCCAAACAAATATTGTGACTAGTAAATTGGGCTAGTTATTTAAATCCAATATATGTATTGGGCTAATCCATTTAATTGGACTACGGATTAAATGATAAGCCCACTTCATTAGCCCAAGGTCCAAATAGCTATTAGCCCATCTTAAAGCCCAGGCTCATGCCACATGTCAAGTGACGTGGCAATCCAAGACGAATAAATGAGCCAATAAAATCGTGCCATGTGTCAATTGATGTGGCAATCCAAGACAAGTAAATGAGCCAATGAAATCATGCCATGTGTCAAGTAATGTGGCAATCCGAGCCAAATGAATGAGCCAACTAAATCATGCCAAGTGTCTGAATGGTATTGGTCAGTTCAAACGGATCAATCAAATCGTAGAGCCACATCACTCCCTACAACTATAAATAGAGGTCTTCATAAAGCTAGAAGACACCAGAAGTGATAACAAGAAGCAAGCAGAGAGCTCGTGGATCAAACACCGCAGATATCTCTACAAGCTACAAGTTCAAGCACTCAAGCTACAAGTTCAAGTTCAAGTTCAAGATCAAGAACGAAGCCAAATCAAATACCAAGGCGTTCAAGATCAAATTACTCGTTCGTGATCAAACCCAAAATTCAAGTTCAAGGAGGAGATTCAAGATCAAGCTTTACAAGCCCTTGAATCAAATCAAAGTCAAGCTCACTAAGATACTTTACATTCTTGAAGAATTAGAGGAATACCATAGAGATTGTAACACTTTCATTTATTGAAATCAAATACTACATTTCTTACGCAATTTTCCAGTCTTGATTATTTATTTTTCTCGACGCGAAAATTTGTTGTTACAGAAAGGAAATGATATTTTTAAGTGAAATTTTAAGTTTGTCCCATATTGGAAGAGGAAGAGGTTTTTTATGTGTATATAAGCAATTCCTCTTCTTCTAACTCTTAAAGAGTTGAGAAGAAGGCAAGCCTCGCGCCGTCGTCGTCGCTCGACTTCGGCTTCGGTCAAATGATTGGTTGATTAATTTTTTGGACCAAATTTATTTGTTAATAGTAAATATTAATAGAAAGTTCATTTTAATAACATAATATTAATATTAATATTAATATTAAAATCCAACGGAACCGTTTTCAGTTTTTCAGTTGTGTAACTGAAAATTAAACTTCCCTCTTCAATTCCCGATTTATTATTGCATAAATTAGTCATTTATGTTATGGCATTTATGCTATGGCCGTTTTGCATAAACAGCCATTCTGAAGAGTTGCACCTCTTCAGTTTTCAGCCCAACATTAGTTATAAATACAAGTCCATTCTCTCTGTCGCTCGCTCGCTCGGCTCGGCTTCGGATTCGGATTCGGATTCGGATTTGGTCAAATGATCGATTGATTGATTAATTTTGTTGGACCAAATTTATTTATTAGTAGTAAATATTAATGGAGAATTCGTTATAATAACATAATATTAATATTAATATTAATATTAAAATCCAATGGAACCATTTTCAGTTTTTCAGTTGTGTAACTGAAAATTAAACTTCCCTCTTCAATTCCCAGTTTATTATTGCATAAATTAGCCATTTATGTTATGGCATTTATGCTATGGCGGTTTTGCATAAACAACCATTCTGAAGAGTTGCACATCTTCAGTTTTCGGCCCAACATTGGTTATAAATACAAGTCCATTCTCTCGGATTTTCGATACGATTTTCTGAGTTCTCCTCCTTTCTTCTGCATACTCTTAACATCAAAGAAAGCAACAGTAAGTTTGATTTGCTACCGAACTTTGTGTTCGCCGAAACACTGGAGTTTGAAGTACCACTACACCAGTGCATAATTCGTTCTATCCTGGGAGGAAATAATCCATAACCTTGGGTACTAGGAGGGGATTAAATTTCTTAAGGTAACACTGTAAATTCAGTGGGCTCGGATTAACTTTTGTTTGGTTTACATTTTCTGTTTATATGTTGTTTTGTCTTCTCCGAAATTAGTTTACAAATACAGCTTGCTAACACTTTCATTTTCTAAGTTACTTATTCCATACATTAAGCATCGACATATCCATGATTTTTCGGTAAGAGAATTCAATAGAAGACTATATAGCAAAAACATCGTGGACAACTGAAAATTAAATACAATATGATTTATGCTATTTTACGAATATGTGTGCGCTCACTTTTCAGATTTTATTGTGTTCATTGGGGGTGAGATGATATATATAATCTTGGATGTCGAGACTTGGGGCGTAAGGAATAAGGATTGCTATAAATATGGTATATTAAGTTTTGTTTCTTTTATTTTATCTTTGAGTTCTAATAATTTGTAATTTTGTTTTCTTTGTTCGTCTTTATTTTTATGTTTTGCAAGAGAATGAACGTAATGAACATTTTAAGTTCGAGTTTATGTTACCAGACAATAAGAAATATTTAAGTTAAGGAAAAGATTATTTTACATCGAACGCATAAGATTTTTTAGGTATGTTAGTCCGCTATGATAATTTTGACGTTGAATCATTAGGGTATTTTAGAAATAATACTTTTTTTCCTAATTTGATGCATGTTAGTATGTTTGATGAATATACATTTTTATACGAATAACTTTGACCTAAAAAAAATAAATTTTCTTATATTTTTTTTATTGCTGCCTTTGCTTTGAAGGAGTAGTTACAAATTTCACCTTTTTTTTTCGTCTCTAAAAAATTGCTTCATAGTTATAATCTCTTTATCTATATCTTTTTCCGAATCAAGGTCAGATACCTTAACTCTCCAAAATAAGTATTATTTTTATAAAAAAAAAAAAAGGACTCCCAATCTTTCACAAACTTGACAAAACAAGATAGAATACTTTTTGTCGCATTATTTTTCAAAATCATTTTACCTTTTCATTTTCAATCATGAACTTTAATTTGTAGAAAAGTTTACCACACCAAGCAACTATTGAAAAACTCGATTATCATACAATTATGTTTTTCGGATTTCATGTAATTCGCCTAGTAATTTATCAACAATCTTCCACTCATTTTAACAAGTATATTAATTTACGAATGTATACAACATTTTTCAAATATAATAAATTTTACCTTGTTAAGGTTATAGCTTCAATCTTCAGATGCATCAATTTAACCAATTTGTGCATTATATCTTAGTGAAATTGAACTGTTATATTCAAAAAAATTAAAATAAATTAATAAATGGTAAAATATTGTACGCAAACGTTAGTTGCATCTAATTGTGCTGAAGTTCACTCCTCCATGCAATTTAACATTAATCACATTATCAACGATCAATTAAGTTTCTATAGTAACAATGTTACGACATAATTAATACTTCATATAAAATTTAGTATTAGTCTTAACGAGATATAACCTTAAAAGGAAATTAAAAAAATTACCTTCAATAAAAGCATCAAAATGCTTATAATAAAATCTAAATATATCTTTTACAATCCAAACATGCATAATCTATGAATGTGAGGATTATGGTGGCATAAATTGCATATCAATTAATAACTTGACATATATTTTAAATAATATATCGATTTAAGAACTTATACGCGTCTAACAGATTTGTTGGAATAAATTTGTCCTTCCATAAAATCACTTGTTATACTATTAATCGGTGTCTCTACATTTTCACTATTAATGAGAATATAGTCATTAAAATAATTAAAATCGTTCCAACGAGCCAGTTTATTGTTTTGATATATTTCCCAAAGTGAATATTGTCTTGTTTGTCGATGCTCGGTCATACTAAATCTCTTATACCCATGTACTTTGTTGGAGAAGGGCCAAAGTTGGTTATGTATTGTTTGCAATTACTAAATTTTGCCATATTTTACACTTTTGTTCAAATTATACCGTACAATTAGGGGAGAAATTCAAAAATAGTCAGATTTACAAGTGGTCGTTCAAAAACAGCCCAATTTTAAAAGTAATCGAAATTTAGCCACTTTTCATGCAAAGATAAATCTGAGCGAAAACACTGTTCAAAACCCGAAAAATACGCCAATATATTATGCTGGAGTTCCAGCATAAGTATACTTGAACTCCAGCATATTATACTGGAGTTCTAGGATAAGTATGCTGGAACTCCAGCATAATATGATGTAGTTCTAGCATAAGTACACTAGAAGTCCAACATAATATACTGGAGTTCCAGCAAAGTATACCGGTCAAGTATAATATGTTGGAAGTTCATACACAAGTGCTCGAATCTCCAGTATATTATGCTGGAACTTTCTGTGTGTTGGAGTTCCAGCATAATATGCGGGAAGTTCATACACAGGTGCACCGAACTCCAGTATATTATGCTGGACCGGTCTCTGTTCCAGCAAAATAGTGGCTATTTTTCATTGACTTGGTAAACGCTGGCTATTTTTGAATGACCAGTCCAAAAACTGGCTAGACCGTGCTATTTTTACTACAATTAGTGATCTTGTATTTGTCCTTATCATCAAGAGAAACTATAATGTAAAATAGGTGGATTTCACGTGTCTAAAATTTTGGGAAAAACATTTAAATTTATCCCTCAACTTACCTTATATTGGAGATTTGTTAAAGGTTAAAGGTAAAAATGGAGCTGTTTTTTTCCTGGTAAAGATGATAATGCAGAGCAAAAATTTAATGAATGGTACAATTGGTCAAACTTAAATATACGTACTGGTGTAATTTGAGTATGTTCACATTTTCTGGTCAACTTTTCAAACAAATAGTGAATTTTGGCTAATTTTAACCCATTTTAAGAACATTTTTTATTTTATTAAAAAAAACTGATACACACACCTTGATAAATGAAGCGTTATACTAGCCCGAGGTCATTGTCAATTATTTTAATATAGGCAACGGCATCTTTATGATAGCTACGTAAAATCAGTATAGCACATAGTACAAACATTTTGAATACATATATATCGGTCCAACTCCAATTTTCTTTTTTTCTCCTGGGCTTCTCTTTTTTTTCTCAATTAGAAGAGCGGAGCATCCAAATCACACACTAAAAGTGTCTCTGCATGCACGGAAGCAAGCAGTGAGTGGAGTGGGTACTGTAAAACCCTCTCATTTTGTCCGCTCTTCCTCTTCTTCCTACTACTACACCCAGACTTGAATGTGATTCACGAATTTCCCAAAACTCCGGTAAAACTTAAATAAGTGAAAACAAGAAAGACCAATTAGTACAATTTCGGTATGCATTCTTTTCTTTTCCTACAATTTTTGCTGAAAATTACAATGGCTTTCATCTGTAGTGCTTCTTTTGCATTACCCACTTGTTGAAAAGGGTATTTTTGCTTATTTGCATTTTAGAAATTGCTTTATTATGTGTTTTTTTGGCCGCGTATTAAATTGGGGTTTATTGACATATGCCTTGTTGAAAGGTTAACCTTGTTCTGTCTTGTTAGGTTCGCGCTGTTTGGTAGCTAGAACTAGGGTTTTGGGTTTTTCCTAGGGTTTGATTCTTGGTTGTGTTTTGCTTTTTCTTTTTTTTGCATGTGGATTTTGCTTAGAATTATTTGTGCTGTTGCTTGGGTATAAGCAGTAGAGAATTCTTTTGACATTCTTATCTTCACTTTTAGGTTTTGATGCATGTTAATCAATTTATGAAATTATGTCACGTCTAAAAGCTCAACAAAAAAGTCAATTTATGAATCTGTTTTAGAGTTGTCTTACATTGACTAATTTTCTTTAGCTGGAAGTTGAAAATTTACCCAAAATGGTGGTCAGAGTAGATCCTCCTATGTAGCTTTAGCTGCAGTTCTGGGGACCTAATGATTTTTAAACTTTTCTTTTCAGCTGCAGTGTATAAAACATGGAGGAAAATTCGTCATCTAAAGTAGCGGATGGAACTATTAGAGGTATCACATTCGGTTTGGCGACACCACAGGAAATAGTAAGTACACGTTTGTGCAGTTTTAATGTTATGTTTGTTACAAGGTTCTCAAGAAAAAAGTACCGGCCTTAGTCCATACATGTTTTAAAAAAAAAAAAATCAAACTGGTGCATTTAAGGCTTTCTGAAGTAATGTTGATGAATGGTTCCTGTAATATTCTTACTTATTTAAAGAAAAAATAGTATTTTGTTATTTTCTCAACTTTTCAAGTAATTCTACTGAATGATCTTAGTTCAACTATGAAACCAGTTACCCTTACAATTAAGTTTCTGAGTTGGCTAGTGTTTTGTTATGCTGTGTCGGTTATGAATTCCTAATTTTTCTTGTTTCCGGCAGTGTAAATCCTCTATTAGTGATTGCCCCATTACCCATCCCAGCTTACTTCTCAACCCTTTTCTTGGTCTGCCTCTCGAAGCTGGCAGATGTGAATCCTGTGGTACTGCAGAGCCTGGACAATGTGAAGGTACTATAACATTTTCATCTATTTCACTTCTATTATTTCTTCAAAACATAGAGGTAACGCTAAGGTGCAAGTGGAGTGTAATATGGTATGCGTTTGTCGATAAATCAGTGAAGTCGAGAAGTTGACAGGGGCCAAATGCTGGCTTAATGCGTAATTGGAATTATATGCAATTGCTGATCCCTTCTTATGAAGGGTCAAGTAACCCCAATTTTCTGTTTCAGGTCATTTTGGATACATTGAGTTGCCCATTCCTATTTATCACCCTGACCATGTCAGTGAGTTGAAAAAGATGCTAAGCCTGCTTTGCTTGAAGTGTTTAAAGATGAAAAACAGAAAGGTATTGGATCTTATTAAGTTCTCCGATCTATGATAAAAAAATAAATTATTTTTGTTCAAAGATCATACATGAGGAAGTTTAAGATCAGTAGCGTTGAAACTGTTTTTCTTTATAATTATTTTTGTTGCCGTTAGTCCATATAAGCAAACATCACAATGTTACTGGTGAATGTCAACCCTACATTTGGACTTGTTATTTTAACAAACATAATGTGGCCATTTGCTAATCTTCCTGGGCCCTTTTTAGATCAATTTTCTTTAATGCTGCCAAATGATGATTTTGTGGAGGTTACTGGCTGTCAGATAACTCTGGTAGTTCTCAAAATGAAAAAATAATAATCTGATACTAACTCGACAAAGAGTATTATTCAAGCTGAAGCTTATAAATAGCTAAACTATTTTTGGTAGGTTAAGTGGTTGATATCTTCGATTCCCATCGAGTCGAATTGCTAATTCTGTAATTTGTTGCTAATGTAGTCCAATTTTATAGACCTAAATTGTTCCTTTTCCCCATCTAAGGCTACAGAAGTTGAATTGACGATTTTCATGGGCTTGTATTTAGAAGGTGCTTAGTGCATGAGTTTTGGCTTGTTTTCTGCAGAGATGTAAAATAATTTAAATTTGATGTGAAAGTGCTCTCTGTGCGATCTTCTAACCTTTATTGGGATAATACTCAGGTTCAGGTCAAGCATGTCGGTGTTCTTGAACGAATGTTGCCCTCATGTTGTGAGGTGAGTATCTAGCTGCCGTGCAATTATGTTTAGTTGCTAATAAAAAAGATATTGTTGTTGAGTAGCGGCATTTATGTGCCTCTAAACTGTTCAGAGTTTCTTATGTGTTGTAAACTCAGTTATTCATATTCTTATAGCAAGGTCAGGTTTTGGTCCTTTCCTTGTCTGTGTTTTGATTTGCATGGTTTCCTTTTTTTTTTTAAATAAATAATATATAATTCCTTTCCTTTTTTGATCGGTTATAAATTGGAAATTCTAAGAACCAACCAACATCAGCATTGTTATCGATCGACCTGATAGTAATTATTATATGGACTACATAGGTTCTCAATAAGACCCTCTATCACTTGGAGTGTATCACGATTTTGTGCCCTCTAACTGGGTTTGTAGTGTCATTTATTTGTCATGCTTCATAGAAATAGTGTGCTTCAACCAACCTTTTTTTGCTTGTTCCTCTGCCTCTTAGTAATACAAGTTTTCTTAGGCACCTGCATGGAACAATGATTTGTCTTTGTAAGGGTGACTAACCCGTGTTGACAGTGATGGCTTTTTTAGTTTTTTATTGAGGGAGCTCTTTGAGCTTTCTGTGGAAGAGTCGTTGTCCTTGAAATTTATTTGTTGTATGCCATAAAAAGTAAATGAATCATAGAAAAGTATGTGCAGAGTTGAGATTGCTGTATATGAGATTGTTATATCTGAGTACGATCTAGTTCTTTTGACTTCTTTCAACGAGGTAATGAGGTTATCTTGTCGGGGGCATAGAGTGGTGGTCCTTTTCCTGTCTTTTAACAAAAATGAAAGTTTGATAAAAAAAAAAGTGAATAAAAATGAAAAAAAAATGAATCAAGTTTTGAAGAAGAGGCTTTTCTTCCTTAGCCCCACCCTTACCCACAGAAGGGGCATAACAGGCAGGAAAAACAAAATAAAAACCAGTGGGGAGGAGGATTGGGCGAAGGGCAGAAAGAAGGTGAGGTGTCTAACACTGTTAACATTTTATTGATGCAATATTTAACTTTCAATTGGCATCATTTCATTATTTCTTGTAGAGTTTTGGTTAGATTAAGTAGATCAATACCCTAAAATTGGAATGTCATATTTAAGCCACATAGTTCAACACGTATAGGAGCAGACATGTACTTATTGTTTTGTGTGGCGAGGAAATCACCATGTTTAGTTCATGAAATTTTGATGAAAATCAAAAGGGATATCCCTTCTTCTGGAGATTCGTGAATATAATAAACTGATTGAACTGACAATTTCTTCCACGTTCACCTGTCTGCTAAACTCTTCATCGAGTAATGTGCTAATGTCAATTCTATCAATAGTTATTCATAGCAAAAGGAGATAGTCGGTATCTGTTTGTATTTTTTGATTTTGCTTACCAGGAGGTTCTTCGAGGAAAAGCTTCAAGTGTTTATCCAAACAGTGTTGTCTTACCGACAACCTTTTAAGAAGAGATTCTCTGTAGGTACTAAAAGAGAAGGAGCTCATGCCTTGTTGCCTAGCCATAGCCCTAAACTGAAAGACACTGAGCACTTTATTTGACTATGAATATTTATAAGCTGGAGTCTGTTTAAATTTGTAGTAATTTTTCTTATTGAATTCATACAAAAAGTTGCTTTACTTCTTGAATAAAGTGACTTATGGATTTAATATATTTGATATGATGTAGGATGTCGTACAAATCTCAATAAATGAGGGTAAAACCTCAGATGGTGCTTCCTATTTGGAACTGAAAGTTCCAAAAAATGCTGCAAATCTTCCGGACTGGAACTTCTTGGAGAAATATGGCTACCGCTACGGTGATGGTTATTCTCGACCTTTGCTTCCTTCTGAGGTTAGCTTCTCAGTCGCTGCAGAATCACCACACAATTTAACAATTAGGGACTGAAGAAGATCAGCTTATAAAGAGTTAACTTCTGTAATAAGCTGAATTGAATTGTTAACTTCTGTAATAAGCTGAATTGAATTGGATTGGATTAATGTCTTTATTTGCTTCTTGAGATGCTCGTAAAAGTTAGTATACATTTGGTGCCGCTTGGTCTATCTCTAGTGGTTAATGTATTTGATATTTGTTGCTTTTTCTATGTTGCCCTTCTGATATGGGATATCATAGCTTCATGGTTCCATCACTTAGTCTTTCATGCAAATCCATTGCCTGTGAAGTCAAATCTTTGTCATTCACTGGCAAACTAAAATGAACGGCAGCTGGGAGAATTGTGACTGCATTACAATCATGTGCTGATCCCCTTGTCCTTTTGGTCATGCCTCACGACTCTGCCACTGGGACACAGTCAGAGGAGTATACTGCTGTCTTTACGATTCTATGATTTCTGACCTCCCGGAATAAATATTTTTAACCAGTGCACTCCTATATACAGCCTAAAGACATTGTTTAGGGTAGCCGATTAAGAGATGGAAAGATACACGGAAAGTGATAACAATAGTGCTTCTTGAAAAATAAAATGCTGTGGTAGTGCGATTAACCTATAGGGAGAGTGGAAATAACTAGGATGAGTTCTTTTTCACTGGAACTCAGTATTTTCTGCTAGTGACAATGTTTAAGTTGGGCTATTATGAAATACATGCTAATCTGGTACTATATGTTTTTACTTTTTAAACCTTCGATGACATTGGAGATTTAATTTGTTGGATCGTTCTCCTTGATATATATCTTGGTGGTTGTACCTATCATAAAATAAATGTCTGGGAGTTTGCGTTCTGGTTCATCAATTAATTCCATTGAATTGATATTATTTTACATTGCAAAATCAGTATTTTGCTCTGGCTAATAGATATCTCAGTTTAATTTGCTTTCTCTTGTTTTTGTTATCACACACGATTTTAGGTTCTTACAATTCTGAAAAGAATTCATGAAGATACTAGGAAAAAGCTGTCAGCAAAAGGCTATTTCCCACAGGAGGGATACATCCTGCAATACTTACCAGTACCTCCTAACTGTTTGTCTGTGCCTGATATATCTGATGGGAATAATATCATGTCTTCGGTAAGACACATAAATAGAATCTTATATATTGTTGGTATTCTCTTGTCTACGTAAAGTTGCAAGTTATCATTATTTTATGTTGCTTTTTCAGGATCATTCTATAACAATGCTCAGGAAGGTACTGAGGCAGATTGACATAATTAAAAGTTCAAGATCTGGTATACCTAATTTTGAGGCTCATGAAGTTGAAGCCAATGATTTACAAGCATCAGTTGTCCAGTATCTCCAGTTTAGGGGGACAGGCAAGGTACTAAGACTGCTTTTATTATTGGATTTGAACAACGATTTTAATTTCCCCATCTGTTTAACTGTTAGAGTGCTTTGTGATTTTATCGGTGAGGCTTCCAATATTATGACACTTCTTATTTGGAAGAAGTTTGTTGCATTTGCAATTTCTAACAAATAGTTACTGCACCACTTTGTGCTTTGAGTGTTCGACAGTTTGCTGTTTCTTTTTAAATTCCTGAGTATATATATTAAGTGTCTGCATCTATGAGACTTAACTAATATGCATTTCTAAACAAACAGAAAAGTCAATGATGCCAAATTTCAGGCAGTGATGAGTTTCTTCAAATTGCTTTGTTTCATATCTGAAGAAGAAATTCAAATTGAAATCCGAATTTTTTGGATTTTTGGTTTGTATTTTCGGATTACGGATTGGATTTTGAATTTAATTTTTAAATTTTTTTGGTTTCGGATTGGATATTGGATTTGGTACTTCGGATTTTTGGATATCCAAAAATTCAATTTTTTTATATTTTATATTTAGTCCATTATGATGTCAATCGCAATAAGTTCAATACCCTACCCATTAGATAGTATCTCATATATTCAATATTAATTACTAAGTTACAGGCAAAAAACTTTCTACTTGGACATGGTTTTACTGTTGCTACTTCTTATCGGCCGTATTAATATCTCTGTTGCATTTCCTTGTTAATAATTTTATTACTTAAATACTTTATTTGGAAAATTGCAGTGAGAATGAGGAACTTTTCATGAGTAGTTCATTTGGATATTTAATTTTGTAAAAAGAAGAAACATCTCAACTTATAAGCTCAAAACCGAAAATCCAAAATATCCAAACCAATCAATCCGAAACCGAACTTAAAAAATCCGATCCATTCCGAGCATATTTGGATTCGCTTTGAATTGTCATTTCTTCAATCCGAAAACCGAAAATCCAAACCTAAATTTTCATATTCAATCCGTACTGCCCGAACGCCCACCCCTAGAAGAAATCATAAACCATTTTCTGTTTCTATGTTTTCTTTTATACTTTATTGAGAGTTTGTTCACTGTAGCTAGTGGAGTATTTTTGTTACCAAACAATTTAAGAAATATCAGGTCCACTCAAAGAAGTTCCTCAGTATACTTTACTGAACATAAATTGTCGGCTCCATGTAACGTGGAAGGAAATGGTGAGGAAAAATGAAGATAGTTCTGTCTTAAACTGGACAGTGCACTCCAACAGTGTTGCAGGGGTTGATATGAGTTGCCTTGACCTTGTAGGAGAGGGAGGTTTGGGGGGGGGGGGGGGCAGTAATAGATTCTTTGATAAAAGGCCTTGACCTTGTTTTGCAGTTGGAGAACAGGAATGCAGCCTTTATCTGATTTCAAATGGGACTGAAAATTTGGTGAATTTTCTGAATAGTACCTAATTTAGGATGAAAAATCTATTTTCTCAGTGAATCATGGAATGTAGAAAAACAGAGAATTTCTGGGTTTGAACAGAACCCAGAAACTTTAGTTCTTTGATATTTAATTCAAGAATATAATTGATGTTCATTCTCAATATTAGGCATCTCGTGACGTTGATAAACGTTTTGGAACAAACAAGGAAGCAGCTGATACCACCACTAAAGCCTGGTTGGAGAAGATGAAGACCTTGTTTATCAGGAAGGGGTCTGGTTTCTCGTCTCGAAGTGTCATAACTGGTGACCCATATAAAGGGGTGGGTGAGATTGGTTTGCCATGTGAAATTGCTCAGAAAATTACTTTTGAGGAGAGAGTAAGTCAGCACAATATGGCATATTTACAGAAATTGGTGGATGAAAAGCTTTGTTTAACCTATAAAGACGGGTCAAGTACTTACTCTTTGAGAGAAGGGTCAAAGGGGCACACATTTCTACGACCTGGACAAATAGTGCACAGGAGGATAATGGACGGTGATACCGTTTTCGTTAATAGGCCACCCACAACACACAAGCACTCCCTCCAAGCCTTATCAGTGTATGTCCATGATGATCACACTGTAAAGATCAACCCCCTCATATGTGGTCCCCTTAGTGCTGATTTTGATGGGGACTGCATTCATTTGTTTTACCCTCAGTCCCTTGCTGCCAAAGCAGAGGTTGTGGAGCTCTTCTCTGTAGGGAAACAGTTACTGAGTTCACACACTGGTAACTTCAATTTGCAGCTTGCCACTGACTCATTGCTGTCATTGAAGTTAATGTTCTCAAAGTATTTCTTCGATAGAGAAGCTGCCCAACAGTTAGCAATGTTTCTTCAGATGGCCTTACCTGATCCTGCACTAGTAGATGTTCGTAAATCAGGTACCATGTGGACTGCCTTACAGATCTTGGGGACTGCCTTACCTGATGGCCTTGATAGTTGTGGGGAGACACATACAATTGGGAAAAGTCAGTTCTTGGGGATTGAGTACAACAAGGACTTGCTTTCATCCATTCTGAATGATGTTATCACATCTATCTATTTTATGAAGGGGCCAAATGATGTGCTGAAGTTTTTCAATTCTTTACAACCTCTATTAATGGAGAATCTGTGCACAGAAGGTTTTAGTGTTAGTCTCCGAGATTTTTACACGTCAAAGACTGTTAGGAATGGTATCCAGGAAAGAGTTCAGTGCATGTCCAAGTTGTTGCATCACTTGCGGTCATCCTATAATGAGTCTGTGGAAGTACAATTAGAACATCACTTGCGTAATGAGAAACTTCCAGTTATTGACTTTGTGCACAAGTCATCTGGCATCGGTGTTCTAATTGATTCCAAGAGTGAATCTGCGCTTAATAAGGTGGTTCAACAAATTGGGTTTTTAGGCATGCAAATATCCGACAGAGGAAAATTTTACTCAAAAACATTGGTAAATGACATGGCTCGACTGTTTCAGAAGAAGTATCCTTCTGCTGGTAGTAACCCTTCGGAGGAATTTGGGTTGGTTGGAAGCTGTCTGTTCTACGGGTTAGACCCTTATCAGGAGATGATTCATTCGATCTCTAGTAGAGAAGTGATTGTTCGCTCAACAAGGGGATTGACCGAACCTGGGACTTTGTTCAAAAACTTGATGGCCATCCTCCGTGATGTGCTAATTTGCTATGATGGGACTGTTCGGAATGTCTCCAGCAATTCCATTATTCAATTTGAGTATGGGGCTAGTGGTGGGTCAAATTTCCCAAGTGAATTTGGTGCTGGTGATCCTGTTGGAGTGTTGGCTGCAACTGCTATGTCCAATCCTGCATACAAAGCAGTTCTTGATTCCTCTCCGAGCAGCAATTCCTCCTGGGAGATGATGAAGGTAGTGCTTCGAATACAAGTCCTTTTCTGACACTTACTTCTGACCAGCTACTTTATATGCACTCAACTAACTGTGTCCCCCAACCCCTTTTTCTTATTTCAGGAGATACTGCTTTGTGGAGTGAGCTTCAAGAATGATGTTTCTGACCGTCGGGTAATCCTTTATCTGAATGATTGTGGGTGCCGTAGAGGGTGCTGCAGAGAAAAAGCAGCGTACCTCGTCAAGAATCATTTGAGCAAAGTATGTCTTAAGGATGCTGCTGATGAGTTCTTGATAGAGTAAGCACCCTAATCTTTCATTTTTTATGCTACCACTTTCTTGTCTCCTAATAGTGCGTGTGTGTACCTACTATCTGCCCAAAACAAAAGTTCACTGTTGAAACCTGACACATGAGGCTTGTGGAACAGGTGCGTCATTGGACTTGAGACCTGAATCTCAATGGAAAAATAATAAAAATTAGTAGGCTGGCTTTAAAATCTAGTGCGTTTAGGGGGTTATTAGGCCATTTTGCCAATAATAATTTATAGAAGTTGAGATAAGAACCATGGAAGTTAGTTTGATGGGGGTAGGGGAAGACAATGATTACCTTAATATACTCCAACAAGATTGTAGCCAACTTAGTTACTGCATCAAAAAACATTTTTCCTGATCTAATGGAATTGCATTACACTGATTTCACAGTTAAATATTTATTTCATTAGACTGCCTTGGCGAGGTTCTGCAAATTTTCAGTTGAACTTTTGCTGCTATTTTCTGATGCCTGCAGTTGTCTTTTCTTGTTTATAAATTTTTGAACTCCATTTTCTTTTGCTGCCCAAGTGGTATTTCTGGTACTACATGAAAGTGAAGAGTTTCTTTCTTATTTTTAAGTTTGGGATAAAGTAACAAATGCTGTTGATTAAACTGGAAAATTCGGCATATCCAGAAAGTAGAAAATCGTCATAGAAAACATGATTATCTGCAAATAGCACCCATGATTTTTCTTTACTGAAATGTCGAAGGTTCTCAAAAAGTGTGAAAGAACGAAAAGGTTCCTCTAATATGTACAGAAGACATTTTTCACTCCCTTGAAATCGAAGAGAGCTAATGCAACCGCTGCAAGGTGGCGACAATCTTCAGAATAGGAATGATTTCAAGTACTTTTTCTTCTCATGATAAAGATCTGACAGTTTTCCCAAATTATTAGACATGGACAGCTTTTCTGTTCATAAACTATCAAGCACGTTAGTTCCATTATCATCATTTTGAGTTAGTTATTTGTTTTACCTCAATTTAATAGCAGCACTTCTTGCACATATAGCTCATTGCTTTCATTATAAAGATACTCAAACTTTTACATCTCAAGTGTCATGCTAGAACCTGTTGATTGTTGATAAAATTTGGATTCGAAGTTTGCACTATTGTATCTCAGTTTAACTTATACATATCCAATATGCTATAAGATATAGTAACGACCTCTGTGAAGAGGTAAAAAGAAAATAATCTAATTATTTTAGTCGGTGATTTTACTGCTTCTTTCTTGTAGATATGGAGGGCAACCAGCAGGATATGAGAATTCTGAAACAGGGACTGGCCTCGTTGGTCATATTACTCTCAACCAGGTTCTACCTATTTTTCGAACTTTCAAGCTTTGGAGTATTTTTTTCGTGAACTATTTCGTCATTGATGCTTCTGTTTGGGTTAACAGGGACAGCTGGAAAATCTGGGAATCAGTGTTCTTGAGGTTCTTGAAAGATGCCAAGAAAATATCAGTTCATTCCAGAGGAGAAAAAAGATTGGCAATCTTTTCAAGAGAATAGTTTTGTCAGTGAGGTCAAACACTATTTTTTTTAATTATTTCTTCAATATGACTTACTGATCTTGCTGTTTTATCAATCTGTATGTTGTTAAATTTGTTAAGTTTTTAGCATCACAGACCAGATTCTATTTCTGTATGCACTATATGATTATGTAGACGCTTTAACTTTAGTGACAGTATGTGATGTAAAGACTATCATATGTGTATGCATCTCTAGAGCGGGAAATCTTAGCAGCTCTTTATTCATTTTAGTACTACAGGTCCTATCATCTGTGGAACTGTAAACATGGGATGCACCTTGTTTTCAACTCATCCTATTTACCTGAATATGTTCAACTTCACTTATTGTCTGACTGAGAGACTTGATAGTCAAGCATGAGGAATTGTCCGCATGTTGCACCAACTGTGTATGCTTAAAGGCTACAAGGTCAATATTAAAGTGATGAAGGACTCTGATCGGTTTAATAATTTTAAAATAGTGTAGAATAGTGTTCTACACCTATGTCAAGCAATTAACTGTGCCTCAATCCGAAACTACTAGGCTTCAGCTATATGAACCTTTATATGCGTTCTTCTCTCCTTGGGTCCATTTCATCCCAAATCTATTTCTATATGTCAGGCAGATGTGGCTTTTTATTCGTGGACTTGGAATGCAATTCATCTCTTTACATATCCTAGAAGACTATTCATTGTTTATGTGGCAATTTCTATAATAAAATAAGCTCAGGCCCAAATAATGTTAGGATTGGCTAAATGAATCCTCTGGAACGATTTTGCTCTATTAGGTCATTGTAGTCCAAGTCATTTTAATATTACTTTGCTTATAGTTTTTTCGACAAATTAGGGATTCTCTAAAACTAAAGGTTTTTTTTCAACACTTACTCCTACACTTGCCACTAAAAAAGCGACTGTTTCATTGAAAGAACCATTTGTAGATAAATTGGCATCAATAACTAGTATCCCTTGCATGAGCTATTGTTAGTATGTATCCATCTTTATGGACCTCATCCTAAGGATGCCTTCTTGCCTTTCTTGTTTCATTAATTTTGTCACAGAAATCAGCATGCGATTCCTGATCTGTTTCATACTCTTCTATCTACCTTGCATCTTTATCAATTCAAAAGACTAATCAACTGCTGTATTGTTATCTTATTACCCATATTTAATTATTACTCTGTGTGCAAAATAAATCCTATGCGCTTACAAAACATTTGCATTGTTATGATTTTTATGTTATGCAGTGAATTTTGTTCGTTTTGCTACAATTCTGGAAGCAAGTGTTTGAAAACACCATGCTTGAGGTTCTCTTGGCCAGATGCGAGTGACGATCACTTAGAGAGGGTTTCTCACATTCTTGCTGATATGATATGCCCAATTCTGTTGGATACAGTTATCAAAGGTAGTTTTGGATTAACTGAACATGTTTCACGGTATTTGAGTGTGCACGTGGTCATTTTGAGTATAAATCCAATCCAGTTTTTACATCTAGTGTACTGTTAAATTTTCTCTTTAAATTGAGTTTTGTCATGGAAAGAGAAAAAAGAGAAGGTTGATAGTATAGGTTGGACCAAGGTTCCAAACCTGTTTGTGTTGAACTGGTTTATTAGTTAAAACGGAGAACTGGATAGTTACGCTGGCCTATTAGTATAAATGTAAAGAATGATGGTTGTTTTGTCATGAATAAGGTAAAAGTTTTCAGGGTTTCTCTATTCTTATTGATGTCATCTTAAGGTGTTACAGTATATCACATTTAAGTACTATGCACATATATGCATTTTCTGTTATGGCTTCCTAGGATAACTGCAGTTGCGAAGAATTTCAAGAAAATTATACCGCGGTTTTTCTTGGAAATGAATGCTTGATTCTAACAAAGTACACTCATAATGGACAGGTGATCCAAGGGTTTCAAGTGCAAATATAGTTTGGATTTCTCCTGACACAATGACTTGGATTAGGAACCCGTCCAAGAGTCAAAGTGGTGAATTAGCTCTGGATATTGTTCTCGAAAAAGAAGCTGTTAAGCAAAGAGGAGATGCTTGGAGGATTCTCATGGACTCCTGTCTTCCTTTCATCCATTTGATAGACACTAGGCGCTCCATCCCATATGCAATAAAGCAAGTCCAAGAACTGATTGGAATTTCTTGTGCCTTTGAGCAAGCTGTTAAGGTACACCATTAAATGCGTTGACTTTCTTTCTATTGTGCGGGTAATGCTCTGTGGGCAGCCACACACGTACCCTGAGGCATTCTCATGAACAAACATCGCGGCCTTCTCGACATCACGTCTCTGAAAATAGACCTATTTACAAAGCCACT